AGGCCACACCCCTGGGGAAACTCCCCTTGGGCAGACCGGCCGCTCAGAACTCAGTCATGTGATCCATCATGGGAACCACCACTCACAACTGGAGTCCAGCCAAGTTGACACATCTTCAACTATCACAGTAAGTAATTGTACTTTAAAGTAATATAATAATTTCCCAATGAAATAAAGCCTTTGTCCTCAATATGAGTGCCAGGATTTAGTGTCCATACTTATCAATCTGCTTTCAGGGCTGAGTCATCATCAGACTGCCATAAGCTGTGTTTGATTAGCTTTAAAACATTTTCCTAAGAGCATCTGTGCTTCCAACTTAAGCTTTATTAATTTTCTTGACTGCCACTCTACGAGCAAATAGAATGAATATGTTCTTTTTAGTGGAGCCAAATGATTCAGTATAAATAGTTAAGACTAGTATTCACATGCAATGAAAGAGTCTTCATTTCTTTGTGCCACCAAATATATAAACTTTAGTTGTCATCAGTTTTCAAAACTTTTTCACAAATGGTAAAGCTCAACCTTCACAGCATAATAGTCTAACAACTAAGTTTTTATTAATTGTCAGAATGACAGAATACTTTGTAATGCTATATGGTCTTATTTGGAAAAGAATATAGACGGGAAGATTTATACCCAGACAATATTGGCTAGTTCTAGATGCTTAATCTATTAATTTCCAAATAGAGTCTGTGTCCTGGCATAGGAAACATACTTTCCTTTTTGTCATTCAACAGGAAAGAGAGGAGTGGGAAGAAGGGTAAAAGGATCTCTTTTGTGCCTTCCCTGATCTGGTGGGCTGGATAGGAGAGAGGTTGAAAGACTTAATTGGTTAAGGAGGAGTGATAGCATCTAAACCTCTGCCACCACCCCATTCCCATTGTGCTTTTCTTTTAGAACTTTAGAATTAAGGGTTTTTTGGTGGTGGCTGTTTATCCTGTTATTGTCAACATCCCCTGCCAACCTGTAAATGTCTGTGAGGCCATCAGTATGTTTTTCTTATCACTGAACCTACTTTCTGGCACAGGATTTCAATGAATGTGTGAAGAAAGGCAAAGGATGAAGGAAGAAAGAAAAGGCTAAAACCTGATGGGTGATGCTGCCTGGGATGGAAATATACTTTAGTTCAAAAATTCTGAAGAGAGATAAGTCTTGAAGAAAGTGGGAGCAGGCAGGGCAGGGGCAAAGCAGAACAAATGTCTTCCTAAGGCTGACAGAACCTGCAGCCCCAGGAGAGGAAAACATCCCCTCAAGCACTAGTGTTCCAGAACACCTCATTTCCTGTTTAATCTTCTTTTCTCTGTTTGGTTTCATTAACAGATCACTACAGTATTGTTTTCAAAGTAAATATGAGCTACTCTCATTACATTATGGTTTACACAGACTTGCACATCAGTCTGCCATTTATAACACTATTTCTATAGGGAAATGAGCTAGAAATTCCAAAGAACTGACTCACAAACATTTACAACACAATAACATCATAAATTTTGATTGTGCTCTCATGTTCATTATCTCTTTTTTCCCCTCTTCCTCTTCTTCTCCTGTATCTTGTTCACTCTCTCCCTCTCCCCTCCACAAACACGTGTGCACATGCACACACACACACATGTGAACACACACATGTGCACACACACACACACTTTACATTCTTTTTGAAACCAGACCTTAAATAAACACACCTAGTCTAGTAACCAGTCACCATGACCAATAATTCTTCCTTAGTAATTACTATTGTTCAGATATATTGAGTTCACACTATTCCTATTCAACTTTCTCCATTCTTATTAACACTATAACTGAGTCCTTCTTTGGAGTCCCTGGTTGGTGAAAATGGACTTGACTGTTATCCAAAATGTTACAGGTTCAAGTTCACCCAGAGGTGCCTCAGAAGAAAGACCTGGTGATCTACTCTAAAATATCAAACTCTTATGACGCACGGTTCACCATGAGTTGGAATCAACTCAAAAGCAGCTACTATTGAGGTCTTATTATCAAAATAGCCTTCTAACTACCCAAATTTTAACAAATAGTACGCATCTTCTATGTTTGTTTGCAAACCATGCCCTACTCCTAATGAGATATTTTTGTAAGCACTGCTATGCCAATTTTTTTTTGCAATGTTGTTATATATCAGGTAGTATCCTGGATCTAGTAACTTCCCTTTTCGATTCATTCTGCACATACTTGTAGCTCATAAACTGCCTCTGAAGTAATTCTTCTCATCATTTTGTTCTTTTTTCTGTTCCTGCCAAAACTTCATTGGCAAGCAAATAAAGTTACTTTCCAAATTTATAGTCAAGGACATCCATATTATGGTTCTAATCACCTTCCTAACTTTATTTCTCAGCAGAGGCATATCTAACGTGTGGCAAGTATGGGACATACCCCTGGACGCCACTTGGAGGGGTGCTCCAATGAGCAGTTTTTTTTTTTAACCTAGTATTACCCAAAGTCCTTCTTCAAGCATGGTAGAAATCCAGAAGCACACAGTCGGGGGAAGAGGGGAGCACTTGCCCCTAGGTGACATCCCAAGACACCATGAATAAGAAAGGCATCTTTTGAGGCAGATGAAAAAGAGGGAAATGGGCATTTCTGCTGATGCATCGCTGCTATCAAAGTCTATTCATTGGGGAGCAGGGTTATACCTTAGAGATTGCCTCTGGGAGCTCAACCTGAGGGTTGTGGGAGAAAAACTTATAGGCTGTCCCAGCTGCTCATTACCATCTACATTAAACCAAAAATAAATAAAATAACCCAAACCCACTGCCACCTAGTCAATTCCAACTCATAGCTACCCCTACTGGGTTTCCAAGGCTGGAAGTAGATTGCCTCATCTTCCCTCCATAGAGCAGCTGGTGGGTTTGAACCACTAACCTTCTGGTTAGCAGCCAAAGGCATTACCAACTACAGATTCAGGACCTCACTGAAATCATTTAATTATTTCTTAGGTACACTGTTTTGTTTCCCTTTTATTCCCACTCATTCTTTCAAGACCAAGTCTAGCTGCAAATCCTTGGTAAAACTCTCCAACACCCTAAGTCACAGGACACCCTCTATGCAGTCCTTCAACACTTATGATTACCTCATGCATATGTGCAAGATTATAAAAAATATTTTCTTGAGTAGGCCTCACAACAACCCTAGGAAAAGTGCATTATATGTATCTGGACTTCTCAGGAGAGGGGAAAGATATTCAAAGATGTAATATGACTTATGCAAGCTGCCACAGATGGACTGTAGCTGAAATCATCTTCCAACCTTCACCTTCAGACTCCATGTCAAATCCATATTTGGCATAAATTGAAATATATACTTAACTATTACTTCATTTCTCAATCTACTCCAGGAATTCCCCATCTTCTCCCATGACAACTTTTGGCAAATGAGGAACAAAAATTACATTTTAGATCTACCTTTTTTGTTTGATTCTTGTCATTTCTCTGTAACCCCATCTGGTATAAAGAATATGGTAGACTGACAGTTACCCAAAAAATCTATTCATCTTTTACCACAGACAGACAAGTTCAAGTCCTCCATCCCATTTAAGAAGTTTTGATGAGACCTCTCTCCCTCTTATGTTTAATATTTAGATTCTGAGCCACTCAACTGAACACTTTCTGATTAACTACAATATATCCTTAGTGTTATTTCATTATATTATTTCTTGACCTAATAGTCTCCAAAACAAACTGCAAATTCTCTGAGGACACATACTATTAATGAATAAAATGAGATCCATGAGTCTTTAAATGTTGGCAGTGAGTGATCGAAATAAAACATGACCAAAACAAAACCAAACCCACTGCCCTGGAGTCAGATCCCACTCATAGCAACCCCTCCTTGGGTTTCTGAGTCTGTATCACTACGGAAGTAGATTGCCCAACCTTCCTTCTGAGGAGTGGCTGGTGGGTTTGAACCACCAGCCTACTGGTTAGCAGTCAGATGCCTTAGGCACTATGCCACCAGAGACGTGACAGCAAGATATATTTCCAAAACTCATCTGAAGCTGAATCACCTGGAACAGTTGCTAAAAATACAGACATTGAGGGTTTAGATTTAATATTCTCTCATCATGTTTCTTTGACCCTGATCCTGGTTTTAACTGAATACATGTACCCAGTCCATAAACTATAAAACAGTAAGTAAGTGGCAAAGTGACATAGATTAAATGCCCAGCAACAGACCATAATGTTTGCATTAACCATTCATTCGTGTGACATGACTGCTTGTGGTTATGGTTCACAATGCATGCAAATATCCTGTTAGCAACATTCTTCTTAGTTTGTAAAAAGTTCAGTATTTCAATATTTCTATATTTTATAGTGCTCCATAAAGAATTTCTGTAACATCCAATACTCAAATCTGGAAGTCACTGAACAAAAATAGGGTACATGGGAGAAGATTGAAATATTCAAAGAACTTCTTCTCTTTGAACTGAATTGGGAAGGTACTCACAGGCTCGCCTCGTGATCCATCCTGTCCTGGAGCACCTGGAGGTCCTGCTTCTCCCTTTTAAATGATTTGATAAAAAGAGATAGAGGATTACATTTTCATATATACTAAAGCACATTAGATATAGAGAAAAATAAAAATTACTTCTGGATTACTATTATTAACTTTTTCTGACACCAAATATGTTTTCTGAAACTCATAAAGTGATTATATAAATATCAACATTCTTTACATGCAAATACATCATTGGACTAAGTTATAAAACAATCATGGTACTACATGATCATATTTTAGAACATTAGTCTCATCTTCTATGTAACTGTGACCAATATACCTTGTCAGTCCTTTTTACATTTATTTTGATTTTCATTTTTACTTTAAAATTCATTGTTTTAGAGAATTAATTAATTTGTCTTTGAATCCCAAATCAAAATTAGAATAAAACTTTCATTGAATATGGAGTTGTTGATAGGTTATTTCTTGAAATTATCTAGCACTTTAATTTAGTATCTACTTACTTAAAATAAAAATCTACAATGTATATTTTAGGTAGCTGTAAGATGCTCTGGTGTCACAGTGCTTAATGCATTTTGACTACTAACCAGAAGGCTGGCAGTTCAAACCTACTAGCCACTCCACGTAAGGAAGACAGGGCAATGTACTTCTGTAAAGATTTGCCACCCCGGAAACCCAATGGGGGTCACTATGAATTGGAATCAACTTGATGGTAGTAGGTTTGGTGGTTTGTTTTTTCTTTTTTTGTTTTGTTTTGTTTTCTTGTTTGGTCAAAATTATAATAAATTTCAGTTCATTTTCCTGGAAATTATTATGCCCAAATTATTTAAACATCATATTTCACAACCATCTTTGGTAATGTTAAACATTTTTCCTAAATGGAACAACTGCTAGTGTATAAGATATACACTAGCCATAGATCAAGAGAACAATGAAAAATGCTACACAAAAGTAAAGAGTAGTGGGGGACAGCTTCTTGAAAAACCCATGCACACCCTGAAACATTTTGACTTCTTGAAACCTAATAGTAATAGCCATGTATGTTCCTATCCAGTAAAGTGCTGCATCAAAACAACAAAGATCTTCGCAAACAATTATGCCAACCCTGTTTCATGCCAGCCATATTTTATTCTAGTTAAGAGTAAGAGAGAAAGTAAAACATAATCATTTTTTTTTTAAATCTCTCAAAAAACCAAAAACCAAACTCACTGCCATCGAGTCCATTCTGACTTATAGTGACCTCCTTTGGGTTTCTGAGGCAGTAAATCTTTACGGAAATACACTGCCCAAACTTCCTTCTGCGGAGTGGCGGGGGAGTTTAAACCTCCAACCTTGAGATTAGCAGTAGGCACTATGCCACCAGATCTCCAATACCTGATGCAAAATAGCCTTAAGGGAAGAGAGCCTCAGAATATATACACTAAGCATATACCAGAACTACTCATTGTTTCATATTCTAATAAATTCCCCAGACCTGTAGAAAATGAACAGTGGGAAGACTCAATAAATGTTAACTAATAAAATCAGCACTTTTAAAAAAAAAATTCAGGAGGATTCCGGTAAGATGGCGAAATAGGCAGAAACACTGCACAGACCCTCTTCAACAAAGAAAAGGGGAACAAATTAACACAGATACAGAAGATAATCCTGGACACCTGAGCTTTGAAGGGAAGGATATAGAAGTGGACTAAACTCCAACTCATAGAAGAATTTGCATGAAAACACCAAAACAGGAGACATTCAGAGCTCAGCTTAGATACTGCCCATGGTGTTAGGACCTAAAAATTAAACTAAAAATCAGCCCTGCTAGTGAGGGACCGCACAGAGGATTGTTCTGGTGGCTGATGAATAAAAGGGGAAGCAGCAAAGAGGAAGGTGGGCTGAGCTGTGGACTTTTACCTGTCCAGAGGCCACAGACATTTTGAATGTTTACTAGTGGGTCGACCATTTTGGACATTTAAAGCAACAGCATTCTCCCAGATTCCAGGGACTTAAGAACAGGCTCCACTTGCCAGGAACCACAGGGACATTCTGGATGCCAACAACTAGAAAGGTGTGAGATTCCCCTTGTTGCTCTTGTACCCCACACCTTCTTGGTGAACAGTGGTGTGCCCATCCCTCACTCCTACCCACCTTCTAGGCTGCCAGGAAGTCTATCCCAGTCTGTGTGCTTGGACCAAGCCTGGATACCCTGCCCCACTCTGCCCCAATTTTTTTTTTTTAGTTTGTTTTTTGTCTGTTTTAAAATTATTGTTATTATTATTATTGTCCTTTTTATTATTATTCTTTATTCTTCCCTTCCCGGGTTCCAGTTTTCAGCTGTTTCTCTTTTCCCTGGTTCCTGGTTCCAATTATTTTTTTTCTTTCTTGTGGTTAACCCCATTCCTTCTTTTTCTTTTTGCATTTTTTTCCATTTCTTTCTTCATTATTCTCCTACTATACCTTTTTTCTCTTATTGCCCTCTACCCAGATATTAAGGGCTTTTTTTTTTTTTCCTTTTTTTTGTTTTGGTTATTGTTCCTGTGTGATTACACAGTATGTTTTTTGTCCACTTTTTTTGATAGTCATTCACTTGTTTATTTTTGTCTAACTGAGTGGCTAAGTGGGAGACAGCAATAGTTCCCTACAACACAACTAAACACACAGCTCCTGCAGCTTCACTTACTGAGTGAGAGCCACCACTTCCTTCCCCACCAACAGGCCAACAATAACAACCAAGAAAAGCCTGACTCACCCATAGATGCTCTTCACAAACAGTTAACAGAGATCTAAATACAAAAACATCACGATGTCTCAGAGACAAAAGACAGTCACAGTCCACACAAACAAGCAAGATAAAGTAGCAGAAATGAGGGAGTAGGACACAGACTCTGAACACATCCCTGAGAAGGAAGCAGCATTGGGGCTCCTGGATAAGGAATTTAAAAGAATTATATTTAGGTATCTTCAAAGGATTGAGAGACAGATCAAGGAAAACACTGAAAAAATTAAGGAAAACACAGACAAAACCTTAGAACAATTTCAGAAAAAAATACAAGAACAAAATGACTAAATAAATGAAAAATTAGAAAAGATACAAAATCTACAGATAGAAATCCAGAAAATTAATACTAAATTGTCAGAAAGAGATAACACATTGAAAGGGCAAAGGAGTAGAAATGATGCAATGGAAGACAGAATTAATGAGATTGAAGACAAATGCCTGAATACTTCTTTGGAAAGGGATCAATGAGAAAAAAGATTTAAAAAAAAAAATGAAGAAAGCCTAAGGTTCATGTGGGATACCATCAAAAGGAATAACCTACATGTCACTGGAATTCCAGAACAGGAAGATAAAATAAAACCACTGAGAAAATTGTCCAAGATTTGTTGGAAGAGAATTTCCTGATATGATGAAAGATGACAATATATCCATTCAGAAAATCCAATGAACCCCAAACAGGATAGACACCAAAAGAAAATCACCAAGACATATATCATCATCAAGCTTATCAAAACCAAAGACAAGGAAAGAATCCTAAAAGCAGCATGGGGAAAAATTAAAAGTTACTTACAAAACACAAACAGTAAAAATAAGTTCTGATTTCTCAGCAGAAACCATGCAAATGAGAAGGCAAATGGGATGGTATATATAAAACCCTGAAAGAGAAAAATTTCCAATCAAGAATTATACACTTGGCAAAACTGTCCCTCAAATATGATGGTAAAATTAGGAGATTTCCAGATAAGCAGAAATTAAGGGAATTTGTTAAAACCAGACCAACCTTACAAGACATACTAAAGGGAGTCCTTTGAACAGAGAACCAATAATAGCAAACTACAACTGACCATTAATACACAAGATGACATAACTCAGAAACCACAGCTATGGACATATCCAAAGTAAAATAAGCTTACATGATTGTAAACAGGGACCCAGAGACATCAATTGGCAAATGAAGACAACTACAAACCAAAAGGATGGCAAATACTGCATAGTTACAGAACTTCTAAATGGTGAGGAAGTCAAAAGAGTTGCAAGATAGAATGGACTACTCTAAACTCAGGGAGGAAATTATAAATCACAGGATAACCTCAAAGAAAAATGATAAACCTTCACATGACAATAAAAAGAGAAGAAAAGCACAAATATTCAGCAAATAATAAAACAACAGCAACAAAGGAAATGATAACACAATTCATAAACATAATGAACTCAGCACAGAAAATTATATGGAACAAAGAAATCAGGGACACCATAAAGAAACACATAAAAAAAATGACAGTAATCAATTCATATGCATTGATAGTTACACTGAATGTTAATGGATTAAATGCACCACTCAAGAGAAGGAGAGTTGCAGATTGGATTAAAAAAACAAAACCCATCAATATGCTGTTGTCTACAAGAGACACATCTTAGAAACAAAGACAAAAATAAACTAAAAATCAAAAGTTGGAAAAAAATATATCAGGCAATGGCAACCATAAAAGAACAGGAGTGGCAATATTAATTTCTCATCAAATTGACTTTAAGACAAAAACCACCATACGAGACAAGGAAGGACATTATATAATGATTAAAGGATCAATTGAACAAGAAGATATAACCATAATAAATATCTATGAAATCATTAAAAGAGCCCCAAAGTTCATAAATCAGACTTTCAAAGAGTTGAAAAGGCAAAGAGATGACTCCACAGTCATAGTGGGAGACTTTAATACACCACTTTCAATGAAAGATAGAACAACTGGAAAGTAGCTCAACAAAGATGCAGAAGAGCTAAACAATACAATCCAATAACTTGACCTTATAGACATCTACAGAGCACTTCACCCAACAACAGCACAATATACATTCTTTCCCAGTGCACATGGAACATTTTCCATGACAAACCAATATGTTAGGCCATAAAGCAATCCTTAATAAATGTAAAAGCATTGAAATATGGTTCAGATCACAATGCTATCATATTAGAAATCAACAATAGGAAGATCAATGGAAAAAGATCAAACACATGGAAAGTGAATAACACCCTCCTTAAGAAAGAGTGGGTAAGAGA